GGGGCTCCCCGTGTGCTCCGGCTGTGGAAAAATACCAGAAATTGAGGGAAATGGGAGAACATCGTTCCCCAAAGTTCAGCTGACGTCTTCACGTGAGCTGTAACATTAGAGCAGCTGCTCCCAGGAACGTGATGCGGTTGGCATGGACAAGGCCAGAATGTACAATATCCTTGGAATGGGGAGTAGAGTGGGATGGAGGTACCATGGCTTGTCCCGGTTATCAGGGATAGATGACCGGTGAGGATAACCGCATGGCTGCTATCAAGGAAGATGGATCACAACTGCTGCCTCAGCAGTGATGGTGAGATCCTGTCCTAAAGCTGAATTTTGCTCATTACAATGTCATTATAATACCATAACACACCTCCATCTCCAAAGCTACCCGCCTCCAAGCTGCGACCACCCCTCGCTCAGCACATGCCCTGAAATTCTGCTAGTCTATACCTTTAAACCAAAGCGAGGAAAATTGACCCCAATCCTAACAATGGTATGTATGACTGGAGCCACTCAAGCTCCACCTGAGAGTAAAAAACCAGTATTTTATACATATAGCGGGTGTTGGAGGAAGACCTCCATCAGAACGTCTGGGATCAGTTGACGGGCTGGACCTCTCTTCTCCCCCCATCAGGATGCCTATCAGGTCAGAACTCAGTGTTAGGCGCTCTTGGTTACTAACACCTTGCTGGCTATTTAGAACTACCACTGATCAGCTCTGTTTGTGCATTGTTCCAAACCCGTTTTCGCAGTCAGTCCCTATCACCGCCTGTCTTTGAACCTGCATCCTGTCATGAGTGCATGTAATAAAATTTGTCGTATATAAACACAAGTTTCTGGAAACTGCAACAACAGATACAGGGGATAGAAAGGATTTGGCCTGGTGCAAAGCCCATGAAGGTCCCTGAATCGGTCAGACGATCCCCCTCCAACTTAGCAGGCTGTCCAGAGGGATTTGTCCCAGTGACACTGTCAGAGTGAGCCTGACAGACTGGCCAAATTGTAAAGGGTTCGAGGTGACCCTCTTTCTCCTTAAACGGGGTGCGGTAGGCGGGTCGGGTACAAGGGTCTTATCTTTCTTCGGAAACTGGTAGACTGGTCAAATTGAGAAGGGCTCGAGGTACTCGCCCCCACCCCTGTCCTCCATTGACCCAACATCGGGTCTTAACGTGACACTGGCTGACACTGGGCTGGTGCCAGAGGAGCACGGTGGGAGGTACTCAGTTCCCTGGCCCCGTCCACGTCTCCTAATGCGCACAGGGAGAGCAACCAGCAGCACAGCTGGTGGTAGGAGCGACAGAGGGACATCTCGCAGCCCAGCACCATCCACAGCCCAGCACCAGCTCCCGAGCCCCATTAGTGCCTCACCTTCCCCATCCCGCTCCAGGCCAAGGCCAGGGCCAGGGCCACAGGGCTCCCCCTTCCAACCTCATCTCTGCACACAGCAGCGACGACAGGTACAGGTGAGACTCATGTATAAAAACATCCCTTTTCGGGCAGAGGCCAGGATAATGGGCACCCTTCCATCGCTTCCCTGCTCTCCCTCAGAGCTGGGAACACAGCGGGGGCAACAGGGCTCAGGGGGAAGCACAGCCAGCCCACAGCAATGCCTACCAGGAGCTGGGATGTGCATCAGAAAGGGACAGGAATGCTGCAGAACAAAGGACACCCCCTTCACAGAGCACGGAAGCCTATGCTCAGTCTGGACCCTGCACCAGGCCCCTCTTGCGGGAGCAGCTCATGCTGGGAGCAGCCCTGGCACCCCCAGGGTGCTGCAGGCTCAGAGGTGCCGGGCTCTCCCACACAAGCCCA